TATATGCAGGACCAGTCGACAGAAGATGGGAGCGGGGGGCTGGTGCTGCGGACTCTCTCCCACAAAATATCTTAATCAGAATATTCCGTTTTGCTGCGCCCGGAAGGAATCACCCAACGGGGTAAAAGGGGGCCAAATGGTAGGCAAATTTATGGGAGTTCACCCTTTTGTTAAGCATTTTAACCAACTTAAAGCTGTGATATTTCAATGAAATGTGGGGGGGATGGATGGCCAGGCTATCAAATTGAATGAAATTAATTTACATAGAAAGATTTCTAAAAAGGATTTTACGGAAGCAAATATTGCCACATAAAATAGCATCTGAATAATCCAGAGTACATTCATATATATCTCTTTTCCAATTAAATAATGAGTCAATGAACCAGGCCTAATCCGCTAACCTTTTGGATTGCGGCCCACATCTGTGTACAAAATGTATATGTATGTAGCCGGGATATTGCATTTTCCGTATCAAAGTTTAGGGATCACATTAGAAATCCATTTGATAGTTTGCTGATGTGCGAAGCATTCAACTGCGCTTCGAGGGCCTGAACAGCAGCAGCAGCAGCAACCCCTCTTGCGGGTTATGTTTAAGGGGAGTGAGTGCCTCACTCCTGGGTGGATTATGCGACAATTGTCGCTGTCGGCGGGGTACAGGGGTAGAGGGGTACACTTGATATACGTACAATTTGCATCTCATAGAACGGTCATCGTTATCAGATGGTTCTGGTATTTCGGGCAGGGCGAAATATATATAATACATTCCACTGTGCCATTTACCGTTGGCCATTGCCATTGCCATTGCCATTGCCATTTCCATTTCCGTTTCGCTGAAGCCCATCCTGGGCTGGGACCTGGGACCTGGAACGTCGCACATCATTCGCTGTGCGTAATATCCTGCTCCTGCTGCGTTTTATGCCCGATGCCCGTTCCGTTCCGTTCCGTACCGCAGCGTAGCGTTCCTCCGGGGGTTGGGCCCAACACTTTTCGTAATAAGTGTATTTACTTTGGCCTCGGTCGCGTCTCTACTTTCTGCTCTTTGTGTGACTCTCGGAATGGGTTTCGTAATAATGGATTTCATTAAGGCAGGCAGGACAATGAGGCCCAGGCATTCAGCTTCCTTTGGGCCTTCTCTCACTCTCTCTCTCTGGTGAGTGTGTGTGTGTGTCCTGACATGGACGCCAATTCAAAGTACGCCATGCGTAACAAATAAATTCATTAAGCGCAGCCAATGCTCAGCGTCGACGCTCAAACATTATCATCAATGGGCAGGAGGCAACAAAGGAGCAGCAGCAGCAGCAGCAGGACCAAAGGATACCACGGGAGGTGGTCGAAAGCTAAAGGAGCGTGGAGCGAGGAGGGGACGGTGGTTAGTGGAACCGGTAACCGGTAACCGGCTGACTGAATGATAATAACAAAAGCCGCTCGGCTTGGCACGCGTAATTAAGTCGCATGTACTCGTACGATACCCGCTCCGATAGCCGAGGAGCCAGCAGCCAGGAGCCAGCAGCCCACCAGCAGCCATGCCCCTGACCATACACTCAGAGAAATATCTTAGAGCTATTAAGTTAGAGATTCAGTCAGTATTTGAGAGGAAACTGCATTAAAAATGGAATCTTAATAATGATGGAGGAAATAATAATATTCAATAAGAAATAAATACAAATAAAATAAAATACAAAAAAATTTAAATTACAAAAAAATAAAAATTAAAAAATAATTAAAAGAAATTAAATTAATTTTAGCAAATATGTATATATATTTTCATATTTAAATCGAAGTGTTTTTCTTTGCTCAGTGTTCCATTCCAATCATCCCCTTCCCCAGCCGCTCCCTTCGATGTTTATGATTATGGGTAGCTCCGAAAAATAGGCAGGAATCGTGGCCAAAAGAGGACCCAGCTCCTGTGACCAGGATTAACGTGAAATTGTCAAGTGTTTTTGTTGCTGCCTGCTGCCTGCTGCTTTTGGTCTTCCGGTGTTGCGACGTTTAATTAAAATGTATATGAGCCGTGAGAGAGTGAAAGATGAGAACACATTCCGGGAAGCCGCAGGGCGGGGTACACAAGGCACAGGGTGCTGGGTGCTGGGGCGGGGAGGGGCTGCTGCTGCCAACCGCAGAGCAAAAGTTATGGATGCCCTGCGATCCGCAGTCGCATCATAAATTTCAAATTAATCAATGGGCTTATGAGAACAACAAAGTCCTTGGTCCTGCTGCCGAACCCCCCACACCCCACCCCCTACCGACCCGAAAAACAGAGGCCTAAACGAAAATTGAAACTTATGCGTGCGGCCATGGGAGTCGGGAAGAAGGAGGAGTCCCCACTCCCACGTCCACCCGTTGTGGACCCTACAAATGCATAAATTCCTTGAGCCCACCAGATTTGCTGCTCTCATTTCCAGGGGTTTTATATGACAGCCCGACACTTGCCTGACGGATGTTCGCCTTCGTGCGGGTCACGGGAAAGGGAAGGGTTTCCGCTCGCAAATTGTCGGGGCAGTTAACGAAACTCGACGTTAATTGGGGTCGGGGGTGACAGGCAGATCGGGCAAGTGGTGCTAAATTTTCGGAACATTTTATTACCAGTTAATGTCGATAAATACCACATTTATGCAAGAAATAAATGAATTAATTTTCAACTAGGAGAAACTTCTGCAACTGCTACTGTTCTTTATTTACGGAATTTCCAAGGTTTATTTTGGAATACAGAAAAAGTATCTGCGCGATGAGTAACCTTCAAAAAGCGAAGAGTAAATTGGCAGCTAGTCTAAGGAGAGTTTATATCAGCACAATAATATCACGTGTTTATTTAAGCTGAAATATTGATGAAGGAGGCGAGAATCGCACCACCATTGTCCAATTAACCCGTCAATTCGTTTCCTACTTACAGGCCCAACCGATGATAGAGTGGCCTGGCCCAATAGGGGTTAATTTAGCAAGTGAATTTAAATTTTTGTTTGTTCTAGCCTTACCAGAAAGTGTAATTTGTGTGTAGGAGCCGCGTTATATCAGCAATTAATCTTGAAAAATTATGTAATATATAATTATATTTTTTTTACGACTATACACGCCATTGCGGATGCCGTCATATTTGTTCTACTACCTCATAGATGGTGTCTGTCCATTGGGGTATTGGGATTTTAGAATTGGGCGCAGTCGGAAAACATTTGGATGGCTTTGGCGCCGCGCTAATTGCGGCCCTTTTTGTGGGGCCAAACGAATGGGCGGACGGGCGGTCCGGGCCGGGCCGGGCCGGCTCTTTGGTTGGATTCATTAGGCCACAAAATTGGAATTTATTGCGCAGATTTGAAAGCCATATACGAGTATATATACAAAGAGCCTCTCCAGAGTCTCGGAGCGGAGCCACACACGTGTGCGACGGCCCACAACGGAAAGAAGCCCAACAACAACGACAGAGAAAAAAGGTAAGAAGTTGGAAACCCTTTGCCTTTGGCTTTGGCTTTGCCTTTAGCCAACGACCGACAAGAGCAACAATAATGGCGTAATGGGCTAATTAGCCATATCCCAGGCAGGCAGGCAGGCAGGCAGTCCGCTGGAGAGGTCTAAAAGCCTTTCAGTCCAGTCGGTGGCCAACAATAGGCCGGCAAAGTGTTACAAATATCACACTTAACGGCCCAAAAAGAACTCGACCATGTATGGAACAAACACAGAGACCACAGGCCACCGCTCGACCTGGTGATTAATCAAAGGCAATAAGCATGCAGCCAGAGCTACTAGAACTGTTCATATTTCAAATACGTATCCGCAAGATACGCAACAGTCGACTGCCCTCACTCTCACCCTCACCCGCGCCCTCGCCCATATGCAAATGACCAACTGGCCAAAATGGTGAAGGATGTGGCCAACAGTGTGCGTGCCATGGGCCATGGGCTATGGGCCATGGGCCAAGCGAGAAAACTAAAAAATTAAATGTATTTACATAACTGCCACCCACAAAAGTCGGAGTCGTCCCCGGTGTCGGGGCTGGAGTTTGGGAAATGGCTTGAATAGCGTTTGCATTTCTCATAATCATAATTTACGCCAAAAAAAGGCCTACCCCAGTCTCCGCGGCGGCGCTCAATGCGAACAGCTGACAGTAACGGCCGCACTGTGGTCGGGCTATGGCAGTCGAGGGTTCATAAATTTGATTGCATTAAGAGATGGAGTCTAATAAATATGAGAGACTGATTGTGCTATGGTTAATAAGCTCAGGAGGAGTTCATGCGCAGAAGGAATATATTCTCTATAGCCTATCTTATATATACATATATATATAGCCTCTGTATATATATTCTGTATTCTCTGCTATGTGCAGATAAGCGCAGTGCGTGGTTTAATTCGCATGATTTGTATGGAGATACGGAATCAATCAATTAGTACTTGAATTATGCTCATTAAAATAGGGCTCTTTGGCTTATTAATTATTAATTATTTGATTATTTTTGGATTACACTGTGGGACAGTCATTTTGTACTTTGCATGAGACAAAATTTATATTGTGGCCCGTGATGAGTAGATCACTTCCTCATACTGATAATTTGCACATAGACCCCCAAAATCTTTTTTAAAAATTCAAAACCGCAATTCGATGACTGTTTGCATTTTCATAAATTTTACTCAGAGCCTGCAGCGCGGATATCCACAAAAAGTAATAGGTTGACAAGAAATTTGTAGTACCTTTCACGTGATTTTTGATTCGTGGAAATAGAATGGATATATCCAGCGACATAGCGATATACGCGACTCAAAGTTGAAGTTTTCTTTCATTTTTAATGTTTCTTCAATTTTGGAATTTTTAAAAAAATTGTTTTTTGTATGGAATGGTATTATTTGTAGACATGAACTTTCTAGTACCATCTATTCCTAACAAAATAAGCTACTAATAAATAAAATTAATGAAAGAAATTAAACTTGATAAGAAGAAAACGAACAATGGAATAATTAAAGTATATTAATATAGAATTTTTTCTGATTTGTTCAATATTCTATTCTCTTTCCAGTGCCTTCCCTGTACTACGAGTATTGAAATCATCGCTGGCTTGAACCGATCACCACATTGACACTCGGCATCCCACAGTGAGTAAAATTTTTCATAGCACACCCACTGTGCGGAATTCCACGCATATGCGTGATTATTTTGCGCCTCGAAGGCGGCTGAAAATGTTAATTAAATGATTTTCCCAGCGAGGGCCCCCCCGTCAAATGGAAACGAACAAAACAAAAAAGAAACAAACAAAAAGGGAGAAAACAAAAGTCTCGATTGCGGCGGCCACTGCCCAATGGCCACCGGTCGCTGTCCACCCTTCGCTCTGCTGTGTTGGTAGTGCCACCACCACCCTGGGCCGGAAAAGTGCCTCGAATTATGCATTACTAAAGGCATTTGCGGCTGTGGCTCTGTGGCTGTGTGGCTGTGTGGCAGCGGCAACCCACGCATATATTAACGCTCAGATAGCGATCAGAGTCGATTCGGGCCTGGGACCGGGTCAAATGATTTTGCATATCGCTGGTCGGTTGGCCGTTGGTAAAAATGGTAACAAAAAAAAAAATGTCATGCGTAGCCGCTGGTCCGCCGGTCCGCAGGTCCAAGACTCTGGGGCTCTGGGGTTTGGGTGAGTGACGACTGACAGCGCCTCGAATAGGGCCAGCGCACGCACAAGGCTAACTAAGTGGCAGGCAACGGTGGCAGGCGCAGGGCAGGTGAGGCGGGGCAGCTAATGGAGGGGGTGGCTGTCAGGTTCCTCGGAACCGAACTGACCCAGAGTCCAGACCCTCCTCCATGCCTTTCCTCTTCACACGTCAACGCAACAAAGCCGAAAATTAGTTAACATTTTTTGGTATTTGATGCCCTTACACCTGCTTATTAGCCCCGGGGTCCATTGGTTTGGTTCTTCCTTGCCCGAGACTGAGAGAGCGTGAGAAGCAGCACTACCTAGAGCTAGACACAAAAAGATCATTAGGATCGAGGGCAGAGGTCGCAGGAAGTCCAAACACTGGGAGGCCTGATTGAGCTGATTGATCGATAGTGCTCGACTCGCTACGGACAGACGTCTGTCCTACCAATCGATATATAGTTGTCTTGTATAAATGATCTCGCAGTGAATTCTGTTGTATTCCTACAGCTGTGGGGGACATAAATCTTAATTGATATGTTGACGGGGACTACTGTCGGTAGGTGAAGATTTTCACAGAGAATCGATCAGGCATCACTCAATTAGAGTTGGAACAGAAGCAGCTATTCCTATTCCTGGGACAGATGAGATGCTGCTGGCATAGAGTGTAATTAGCCAGGTTTTGAGGTGTTGCCAACTCTCAGTATATAATGAATTAAAGTATTATAATATTTGCTTCTGATTTCAATATTACAGATTAATAATTTATTATAAATCGCATGACATGCAAGCAGCGAATAAATATCTAGCTCGCCAGCTTGATCGTGACAGATCGCGATTTATTTGCCTTACTTCCCCCCACTGGAAATGTGAAATTCTGTTCAACGGGAGTCCGCCGCGTCACGTTACACATTTGGAAGCGATTTACAAACGCAATCAGATATTTATTGATACACCAAAGTCGTGGGCTGATTGTGTTTTTAATGAGATCACGTCACCAATTTGAAGCTGGGCAATGTGTATGTAAAAACAATTGAATATTAGGTAAATAAATCGTTGGGCAGTTCGTGAGTCACGTGACAAGCATTAAATGTGGCAACTTTGATCAGAGATTCAAGTGGTGGCAACTTTAATCAGAGCTTCAAGTGGTGGCAAGTAATTTCCATGGGGCAGTTCATTAGGGGTTAAATTTGTAACATTTAGAGATTTATTAATGGAAAGTTAGAGCAGCTAACAGTCTACTAGCCGTGCGCAAAAAAAGATATTCCCCCCAATAACAGTAAAGTTTTCTCGCTTTGGCAGGAGTTGAAGCGGCAGTGGGAGTGGCGTCGAAGGCCGCCCCTCCCCCCACCACTCTCATTATGGGCATTTCCAACTTCTGGTTGGGTTGACGGCCTGACGAGTGACGGGTGGACGATGGGGGGAGGGCCAGGAGCTTGGTCCGTGGCTGCTTCTGCTTCTGCTGCTACTTCTGCTGGCTTTGGCGTTTTCAATTGTTGCTAATGAGTGCCACAAATTAATTAGGTTACTTCGTTACGCCGCCGCCGTCGTTTGCCTCCGCTTTGGACTCTGCCCCAACATTACATGGCTGTCTGGGTAGGGTATGGGGGGGAACTGCTGGCCGTTGTTGTCCCGTCCATGTTGCTGGCAGTGATAGTTGTTGAAAATTAGCATAAATTTCTCTTTCTTTTTTTTCTTTCTTTCTTTCTTTCTTTCGCTTTGCTCGCACGGAAAATTGAGCAATTTTCCAACGTTTTTCCACGTTCGTGCGGCAAGTGAATTATTAATTTAAAATCCCCTTATCACGAAACGGAAACCTCTGCAATTCCCGGCCCATTCATGTTCCGATCTTATCTGGAATAATGGATGACAGCCACAAAAACGAGTCTTACCCAAGAAAATCTCTGGATGCGGGTAGACCACTTGAGGGAGAGGGAGGGAGAGCGCCACAACTCCACTCCACTCCACTCCACTCCCTATCGATTACCCAACACGATAATCTGACCACAATAAATCTGAATCCGTTTCGGATTAACTTCTATATAATTACGTGTATGGCCTTTAATTGAGGTAGACTCCGTCTGTGTGTGTGTGTGTGTGTGTGTGTGTGTTTCAGGACTGCCAGATGAATGGGCCCGAAATTGATCAACTTTCCAGGTAAATCCATTTTATAATTTGGGATTTTCTCAGCTATAACTCAACAGAAATTCGGGACTTAAGAAGGCAAATAAATCGATGGCAAGGCATATTTTGGGAGTGACTAAGAAAATTTGTTATAAAATCCATTGTTGAAAAACGCTGAAAACCAATTTTGGAATGAGTGTTAGACGGCTCGAAAACGATCCATAAAAATGAAAACTTCTTGCTGTTACACTCTGCAACGGGTATACCTGCTGAATTTTCCAAACTTCGCGCTGTAAAACATTTTCTCTTTTACAATTTCCACGCCACTGGGGAATTTATTGGCATCAATTTTGATATTTAAGTGCCACTATTCCAGCGGTTTTATTCTCTCGGGTATGATATTGGCTTCTTCATTCAAGGGTTCCAAATTGCATAAACTTAATGAGAGTTAATGTTGTCAAGGTTTTTAAGATTGCCATCAGACTTGCCTCCAATTTGGTCCGAGGCACATGAGGCACGGCACAGACATAAATCTCCCCTACCTGGAAGTGGAACACACATCTAAGAATAGATATTTCTCGAACTTAACCTTTAAATGCGAGTACGAGGACGAGTGCGAGTGCGAGTATTATATGCTGCTACCGATAAGAGTTATATATGTACAAGGAGCATCTTTCCTCCGTGCTGTTTTAGTGGTATCCAAGGGCGACCGATGGTTCCCCGGATATTTTGCAGCCCTCGAAGGCAAATGTGAAACATTGAATTATGACTTTTACCGAGGGCTGAGTGGCAGGAGCAGCAGCAGCAGCAGCAGCAGGAGGTGGGTCCTAGCAAGGTCTCTGGCTACGCAGTTGGTACGGGTATTACCTTTTTTTGTTGTTGCTGCTCCTCCTCCTCCTTCCACCATCTTTCGGGCAAATAGTGAGGATTATTAAGGCTTAGTCGAGGGGTTGTGTGTGTGTGTGTGTGTGTGTGTGTGCGCGGCACAATTACACATGCACAAAGGATACGGCTAAGCGGCTTATACCAACGCATCCCAGAACGTTTCCAAATGGTATGAAACGATACAGAAACGAACAGAACAGAACAACACGAAGCGGGGGTGGTGCGGTGCGGTGCGGGTGGGGGTTCGGTCTGCGGTTTCCGGCTTGGGTAAGCGCCCTATTATGAACAGAAAAGTAACGCTAATGAGTAAATCAAGTGCACATGTGTGCCGTTGAACTGGAATACCACCCACCGCCCTACCTCCTGCCTCAGCCACACACAAACACTACCTCCTGCTCCAGCTCCTGCTACGCCCTCTGTGCCTGCTCCAGTGGATCCTTTGAAGCTGCGGCAAACGGCGTGTTGAGGCATAAATAAGCCTCTCGTTCTACCTAACTCTTGGCCTCCCATCAGCCACTTGGCGCTGTTTTAATAGCTAAATTATGTAATCATGATGTGTGATACCAACACACACACATACATGGCACACACACATACATACATGCCTTGGTATTTATGCAAATCCTGATGGCTGCCTGCCACTACGTTACTTCTTCTTAGAAACTTTTACTTTGTCCCGGGACCAAGGAATCCACAAGCCCGTCTCCATGCCCCACATCCCTTTTGGCCGCCCCTTTTGGCTTGCCACCCCTTTTCTTTCATACTCTTTCCGAGCAGGGTATTGGGATTTTCCTAGGTGAGAACAAGACCAACAGCAGAGGAGTAGATCAGAATTTCTAGTTATGGGCGGAACCCACAAAGGATTCCTTTCGCTGTACTTTCTATGTCCTTTCTTGGTATGTATCGAAACTGGAGAGATCCGATTAGATTCTTTAGCTATGGAGATTTGAAAATCAGCTCCAGATATTAGCAATTTTTAATTATAATTATTTTTAAAATCATTTATGAAATTGCCTTCGAAGCCAGGGCTTAAAAATCAAGAATTCTGAAGCAGAAATATGTATATTACTTGTGCAGTTTATTCCCAAGCTAAGTTCACTTGCCTCTGGGGGTGTGAATTTTTTGTACGATTTCTGAAGGCTGGAAATGCCTTACAAGTGTATCCAAAAGCTGCGACCTTCAAAAACGAGTCCTGCCTCTTTTTTGTTTTAATTTGAGATTTTTCATAATGAGCAACGCAATGGGTGGAATAAGGGCAACGCTATATGCACACACACACACACACAGATATATATATGTATATGTATATGGATATGTGGCTGGGTGTCAGAGGTCGTTCGGGGCTCTTGGTTCGTTGCCATAGTGTGAAGATTAAATTCTACTAATTAGAGATGCCAAGTGGGTGTTCGCGCATTTGTGCGGGAATGCCTCACATGTATGTGAGTGTGTGCGTGAGGAAACCATCAAAGCAGCCAGCCTGGCAACACAATCCCCACCCAAACCCCGCAATCTCCTGCAAAGCGCCTTCGCCTTCACATCATTGATGTGCTGCTGGCCCTGCTGGCCTCCTCAATCCTCGCAACACAAACTACAAAGAAACATTACACAGCAGGCATAGCCCCAGTGTGTAATACCCTTGGCGCCAAGGATTACGGTTTTAATCTCTGGCTGGTGCCCCCCGAGTCAAATCCAAAATAAACTCACGGCTCGGCGCTTCATTTGAAGCCATTCGAATGGGGAGAAACGCGTGATGCGACTTCGCCCACAAAATAACAAAACAAATCAGACATGAAAGACATAATATTCACGAGATCGATGATCGGATTCGTAGCTTTGAAAATAAATTTTAACTAAATTTCACTTATATTTTGCCAAAAATTTTAGTTGTTCCTGTTATACTAGTTGTGATGATAATATAAATAAATAAATAATTATAATAAATAAATATTTAGAGGCTTACATTCAATGTTACCCAAAGTGCCTCCGACTTGGAGACAAAATGTTGCTAAAATGCTGCTAATATGTTGCTCAAAAACCACCAGAGAAAAGTGCTTGAAAACCTGAGACTCAGTTTGTACGCTCTCTCTCTCGTTAGAGTCATGAGGAGGCAGTCATGAGGACAGCGACTTGAATTCGAGTACATGCGTGCGTATACGTAATCTCACGAAGTTTCGAAATTTCTGCATTTTCTGTCTGTCAGCGGGAAATTTTGCTTATTTTGGCCAAAGTATTTTCCATACAATTTTGCAATTTTTAGGGTAGAATTGTGAAAGATCGGGAATATGCAATAGCAAAAAGTTTCATCGATTTTTAGCTCCTATAGAAAACCTTTTAGAAACTCAAAAAAGAAACTTCAGTTGACTTTGAAATCATTGACACTTTGAATACGATTCCATCATATATATATATATTCCATATATATATACATTGCTGATGCCTGACAGCCATGGGCTCCCTGTACCAGGATCCGATGGCCTCCGTGCCAATGATTATCATGGACGAGACAATTGGCCTGAGGCTGGTGCCAGACGAAATAAGCCTCAGCGATCCGGTGATGCTGCGACACGTGCTCTGTAGCTCCATTGTAGTGCACAATCTGTTCCATGTGATTCTGTGCTGTCGACAGTTGCGCAAGTGCCACCGCGTCCAGGAGCCGCCGCGCCAAATGAGAAACGTGATGTCGCCGGCGGCCTTTCAGGCGGCCAAGAACGACGAAATGCATGCGGTGGAGCGGCAACTGATGGGCTACGTATTCGATGCGATCTTCAGCTGCATGGAGCTGTACTTTGGCGTGTTCCATATACTGTGGGACCGCACCATGGCCTTGTACGGCAATGTGGGCGAGATCGTTTGGCGTAACTTGGCCTACATGGCGCTCTTTGCCACGTATATGGTGTTCCGCACGCTGCCGCTGGTCTTCTACGAGAAACTCACGCTGGACAATCGCTACAACGTGGACCCGGAGAAGGCGCCACCGCTGGTGGGCGTCATATGCGCCCTGGCCTTTGTTATTGTGTTTCTGCAGGTTCTGCTCATTCCGCTGACCGCCATCTTCCTGTATATCGAGATCTATGGCGGCTATTATTTTGTGTTCTGGATCTGGGGCTTCCTGTTTGCCGTCTCGATGCTGGCGCTCATCTTCTTCAGCCTGTTTGGGCTGCCCTGTCTGGGCAGTAGCAGCAGGCTGCCCGAGGGATCGCTGCGTAACCAGCTGCTCGTGGTGCTGGAGGACTACAATTTTCCGAGCAATCGCGTTACGCTAATGCACACCTTTCATATCGCCAACGCGACGGCCTTTGTGTGGGGCTATGGCTGCTGCAAGCGTCTCGTCATCCTGGACAATCTCATCCACAATCGGGCCATGCCAGTGGCCGAGCTGCTGCCCGAGGAGATCAACATGGGCCTGAGCGACATCCAGGTGGCCGCCTTTGTGGCCCATCAGCTCTCCCACTGGCGCTACTATCATCTGCTCAAGGGCTTCATCTTGGTGCATGTCAGTCTGATCATCTACATGGCGCTCTTTGGCACCTGCTACCACGTGCACGCCCTGTACGAGGCGGCGGGCTTTCCGCACAACTACTATCCGATTATCGTGGGCTATTGGCTGGTCTACAAGTACGTGATGCCCCCCTATCTGACAATCGCCAATTGGATTATCTTCTACTATATACGGCACTCGGAGTATACGGCGGACAACGATGCCTGGCGCCGGGGATACGGACCCGCGCTGCGTGAGGCTCTGCTCAAGCTGTTTGCCGACCATCATGTGTTCCCCTTCGACGACCACTGGTACCTGATGTGGTACCGCACACGGCCCTCCTGTCTGCAGCGTATACGCAATCTGCAGCGACTCGATCTGGGCACCAGGCTCAGCAGAATCGAGCTGATCTGATCCGTACTTTGGCTTTGCATTGTAATAATTAAAAATGGATATTTTTTGCCACATGCCACTTGCCACACAGACTTTTTAAAGCTTAAGCCCGCCTGACAGCATCAGGCTTAAACTTTAAGTGGAGTGCAAAACTTTCGGGGGATCCTGGAACGGGTGCAAACTTTTCCGCTGTGTTTTAATTAAAATTCGTATCAAATAAGCCGCTGTCATACCGCCGCTCTCCTACTCCAGCCAGCTTCCTCTGCTTTTCCTGCGTGTTCCCATTTTGGTATTTTGTGTGTTAAAAGCTAATTTTCCGAGCGGTAAAAGTTTGTGAAATTGAGGAAATACTTTACCAAACCAAACTTTAAATGCAGCTGGAAACTACAAGTGCTTGAAATTGTCAAAAATCCAACTAAAAATTGCACATTTTTTCAATAGAAATAAAATAAATAATTATAAGGGATTTTCTGCCTTCATTTAATAATACTTAGCTTTCTAGATATATTCTACGGCATACCCAAAGCACTCCTTCACCTCCTCCTGCTGCCCGATCTGTGACCTGGGACCCAGCTGCATCGTTTGGTGATTGTGATTGAAACGATTGTTGACAGGTTGTTTGGCATAGGTCACCCATTTTGATGCTCTGCATGGGGCACAGACTTTACCACCTCACTGTGCGAGTTTCATTGTTTTGGCAATAAACAAAAAACAACAACAAAAAGTCGTATGGCCCCTTGGCCTGGCCTCTACGCCTCTCGCCAGATACATATTAAAGTACATATCTTTGTTGCTTATGTGCGTATTCATTTTTTTTATAGTTAAACGCGGCTGGTGTCTACTTTTTAACGGCTGCTGTTGCCCCGCCGAATTATATTTTATTTTTTGCTTTGCCAAAATTTATTTTAAATGCCTTTCGACAACATAAAAATTAATGTCGCACCAGACAGAGGCCAGGAGCTGCAGCAGCAGCAGCAGCAGTGATGGGAGAATTAAGTGAAAAAAGAAAAAAGGAAAAAAAAAACCAGCAACGATCGTAAACTTATTCCCCAAGCACTCGAAATTGAAATTGCTTGGGTTGTGGGGCAATGAAAGCCTCATTTATGGCCAGAATGATAACGGAATGGGAATGCGAGTCCTTCGCTGTCACTTTTTGGGGCGCAACTTAATTAGCCAACGACTTTAAACGGATTGACAGAGAGTAAGAGAGAGAGAGAAAAGGGGATTCGCTTTTTTTTTTTTGGTTTTTTTGGCTGTTGCTAAATCAATTACGCAATCAAACGGTTGACAATTTCTACAGGATGAGGGAGTTCTTCGCCCCGCCACATGCAGTACATGCAAAAAAAAAAAATGAAGCATGGTGCAGTGCAGTGCGGATGTGAGGGCTAAATGCGTTTCTCTTCCATTCAAACATTCTCTCAACAACTGCCAGACCACTCCGCAGTTGGCAGTATGAAGAAAGATGGAGCTCAGCTCCAGTGCGGACGGAACTTTGAGGGTTGTCTCTGTCTCTGACGCTGTCTCTGCCTCTTTTTGCTACCTCTGGCACTGCCTCTGCAGCGCGCGCTCGAGCGGTGACAAGCGAAGCCTTTGCCCCAACGCATCCCCACAACTGTGCAAACACTGTGAAAAAACAAAACTAAATAGATATTCAAAATATATATCATTAAACGCAGGAGACAGGATTTGGCTAACATTGTAGCTGAAATTGTAACCAAACTGTAGCTGAAAGAGGGTTTTATTTCCGGGAGTTGTTATGCAATGGACAAACCGATATATGATAGAATTTCCCATGCGACAGATTGGGAACATAAGTCCTGCAGAACTGTCCACAATCTAATGTTTTTCTCTTGCACAGAACATTCAAAAGTTTTGGCATTTTGTCGCAAATTTTGATTCTTTCTTCTCCATTTCATAAATATACTTTTTTTGTGCAGTGTATGTGTACGTCTTCTGCTGCGGCCCCCACGCCTGGCCACGGCATTCACTTTGATGTTTTACTTTTAGTGCCTCTCCACGCTTGGGCTTCTGGGCTTCTGCTGCGTCTGTGTGCGGCTCTATGATGATTTCTTTCCTGAAATTATATTTTAACTGCCAGTCAGCCCTGCCACGACCAACACCACCACCACCACCACCCATGCCACCCATGCCACCAAAACTCTGGCCACATGGGGCAAGTGCATCATGTTGCTGGGACATAAAAAGTAATGACAGCAGCATTTCTCCGGCCCGATAATGACGAACGAGTGGCGAACGGGGGCGGAACGATGGCGATGATGATGATGATACTGATGATGATGATGATGATGGTGCACTGTGTATGTGTGTGTGTGTAGAAAGTAGCTAAAGGATATGGCAGGCAGGCAGAAAGGAGGGATGTATGTACTGGGTATGCTGCCACCTCCGGGCTTTGTGAAAACTTTTCCATGCGACAAAAAAGAAACGAAGAAACGAACTTCGGCCAGCTTTAAGCATCCTTTCAACTTGCAACTTGCAACTTAAATGCTATATGGTTGCAGTTTTTTTAATTTCTTGGAGTTTTCCCACTCCTGAATGACCATATTGACTTGAATAGCTTTCAGTCGAATCAGTGTGAGTCTGTGTGACTCCCAAGGCGTGCAACAGCATCTCACAGATCTTAGCTCGGCTCATTCGCGTGGATTGTGTGGGGCAACAGCCCTGTTAACAGTCCAGCGTAACAGCATGTTTCCGAACTCCGGTCAACAGCTCTGTTAGCGAAAACACTCTGAGAGCGGGCTTTCGTTATCGTTCTCATGATCCACGCGGCTCTCCAGGGGCCGGCCTCAGACTTGTATGCTAGAACCTTGCAGTAAGACTCTCGTTCTACCCCCCGTTGCAAGCGGACGTGCTTTTAGTGACGATCTACAGTAAGTTCAATACGCAACGGCAGCGATAATTAATTCGTTACAACTACAATATATTTTATACCATATAAAACGAAGCCCTCCCTTAATACTTCTTTATATTGGTGCTTAATCTATGGAGCATCCATCCACCTACGAACACAAATAGACTTAGTCAATTGTATTTATTGTAAATGTCTCAAAATGTCTCATTTCAATGAAGCATTCGCTTCTTTGGGGCTCCTTTCGCTTCAGCTTTGGCAAGCTGATTCTTTGCACTCAGCAGGCAACGCAAACATTGTGATTTGCGTTTTCACTGTTCATTTTTTGCATTTATGTATGTATAAATATGTGCAACGAATGAGTCATAAAGCACTGGACTGCACTGCACTGTACAGAGCCACTAACATGCGGTGCTAGCTGTATACTATACACTGTACAGTACACTGTACAGTATACTGTATGGTTAGTGACAGAGCCAATTACACTCTCCATGTAAAGGGCGCATGGAGAATAATAAATTGGGCATTGAGTCGTTTATAAAGTCCAGACTACAATATTACAAAGTGAAATCAAAGCAAATATAATATACATAGATGAACATTTAATTTCCACAGAAAGACGTAAGATGTTGAATTTATTATTATCATTTTTTTGCGTTATATGCTTTTATGGGATGCATTTCCACAACGTAATTAAATCAGAGTACGGGTGAGTGCTGCTTAAGTATTCCTATATAGTATATGGACATAATTTAAGACAAACCAAATACATTTTCGGAAAAAGCCCTTACTATGGACATGACTGTGTTAAACTTATAAATGAATTGGCCCAGAAGTTTCCCGAATACCGTTTTGAAACTCCCTCGGACTGGATTCTAATATTGCCGATCGGAGGGTTGATCTTTGCTTGCTGGATATACGGCTTCAACGGGATCCTAAGATTATTTTGGAAACTTTACAATCAATCGGCGAAGCTATGCTCATTGATTCTTACAGTTGTGGCGGCTTTATTATTTCTTATTTATTGGCGGGTATGACGTTAATTTCATCTAGCCCCAATATATACATATATTGAACATTCTATATTATTCATAGATTTCGAAATTTGGAGTCTTTGAAGTAACTCTGGAGGGGCACACTATTTATTCGACGAAAAATGGTCAGCTTCCCCAAATTTTTGAGCTGTCCGACATCATTCAAAGGAAAGCCCCCGGAATAAAACTCATAAACTATTTTTTGGTATTCCTTTTAACGCTGATCGTACGTGTAGTGATCATTGAAAGCAATAGAACACCTCCAATCAGACGTCGATAGTTTTGTATATTTTGGCTGGCATTAAAATTGGATTTGTGACAACTGTCTTGAATAAAATAAAAATCATTTTGTATATCTCCGACTTGAATGCAATTATTAGAAACAAAACGAAAAATAGTTTATTTCGTGTTTCATATATGTCGCATCGATACAAAACCAACTGGAAGGATGCCGTCATGGGGCAGCTGCACACTATACTATACTTGCAGCACCCGCCCACCCACCAGATACCAACCAGAGCCAGAGCCAGAGACCAGCCAGCACCGCATGTTGCCCGCCAGATAAAGATAATAGAAAACTTCAATTTTGCAGCAGAAACAAAAACAAAACACTTTTCAATCATGAAGAGGTCGTGAACGAAGATGAAAATGTACGGATATGTTGTAGAATGGGGTGGAGGGGACTGGGTAGCCAGTGGGACTGGAGCTACCAAATCATTTCCGCAACACTTGCTCACTCACGTTGCTGCCGCCGCCACCGTCACCGCCTCTGCTGCTTCAGTTCTGAGCAGCGGCAAAGTTAATGGGTGCAACGCGCGGAGTTGTTTGGGGCCACACATCGAATATTGAATGCCCTAACTACCTGGCTTTATATGATTAGAAGAATTGGAGTAGGATTATTCATATTTAATTATCTTAGAAATTCGCGGCAATCTGTGAAAAATAAAATAAAAAAAGGAAAAATAAAAACGCTCGTATTTAAATTATATATGTACATGTGTATGTATTCGGGTTTCAAGTACAAAAAAAGTGAAAATATTTAATTTGTTTGGTATTGGTATTAATTTTTAAATCTATGTCAAAAAATACAATTTATGGACTTATATACATATTGTAACGACGGGTTCCAGGTACCATGTCATTCCTTTTTCTAATCAATTCACTATTTAAGTTTCCACTACAATATTTATTATATTTTATATTATATTTTTATATTATATATTATTATATTATATTTTTATTCTTATATTTTCTTTGGAAGGGTATACCAAAGTGTATGTGTGTGTGTGTTTTGTAGGTGGTGTGGTGTGTGCTATGAGCTATGTGCAAAAACATCTGCCAACGGATGTGTTTGGCCATATCCGCCGCTGCCGCTGCCGCTGCCTCTGCTGCCTCTCCTTCTGCTGCGCCTGTCCTTCCCACCCGACTGGAGTGCGCAGATAAACCCTGGGAATGCCTTGGCTCAGGCACCGACCATCTCTCGTTTAGCCCCAGGACGATACGGCCTGACTATTCATGCGTTTCAAATTTTCAATACACTCAAATGATAATCGAGACGCTGGTGGGGGGGACTGGGCGGCAGACGAGAAAGTCCCGATGGGGAAAAAGGCAAGGCAAAGGATGATGAAAAGCCGCCGCATGTTACATTTTAAAGCCTTTTCAAAGAGGCATCGCTTCGCTTTGGTTCCTATTTGCGGGACGAGTATCTCTTGGCGGCAGATTGAAGGGAATTGAATCCCGGCCACAATGCCGCTGGCAACACCTGTTCTAATGGCCAGCTAGACGGCAGGCGGCAGGCAGCCCATTCACGTACATACGTGGGGTGGCAGGGGATTACGGCAATTATGGACGGGGGCGGCTTATTAAATGCGAAGAGATCAGAGCCCAGAATGGCAGAGTGGAAAGGGGAGGCCTGGAAATAGTCGTATTGCCCCGTATAGGCAGGAAGTTCAAGCATTATTACAGCTATTGAAAGTATTAAATTCGATTTGTTATTGAGAAAATGGAAAAATATATGCAAGGGAAAATTTATTTCCTTAGATAAATAGCCCAAGGTGGGCGCACAGAGCAAATGTTAGCCAGATGAGATTAATTTTGAATAATTTTAAACTCAACTTTGTTGGCTCAAAATATTCATAAAATCCCTCGGTTAGAGGGACTTTATTTTAATCGATGCGTACACACATCCACCGATTGTATCATCAACCTTTTTGATTCGGATGCCTTAAATTCTCATGGGAAATCCCATTTCAATGCCAATTAGAGATGCCGGCTCCGCTTTCTGTCACTTTTTGTGAAATAATTTCACTTCTTGTATTGTACTTCTGTGCTCCGCCCGTAAGTTCCATTGTTCCGGGAGTGCCGACATCGTTCACCTTTCAAGAGTCTCCGTCTCCCCCTCCCCAATGTGAGTGTGTGAGTGCGTAAACCCACACAAACACAAACACGTTAAGCGGAAAACAAATTAAACAACTCTCATGTGGCAAGGGTATGGTTGGAATGGGGGCATGGGAGGCAACGAACGGAACTCACTCGTAAGCTGCTCCTTTTGTTCGTCACGTTGGCGTCGCGAAAGTGCCAAAGTTTTTCATTGTAATAAATATTTTAATTTTGAACTTGAGCAATTAACCCGGGCAACGCATGTGGAAGGAAAAGGGCTCCGCTCCCATCCTCCTCCCGTCGGAGGGCCTCCATTGTGTCCTGGCAATTGTAATCGGGACACGCCACCCACCCCTGTCCGGGCCGTGAGTACTGCTGCGAGTATCCAGAGTGACGCGCGCGGCTCTATGAACATTATGAACTTAAGCTCTGGCAAACGACAAACAACAAGAACAAGAACAATAACAATAAGAAGCTGGGACACATGCCAAAGTGGTTAAGTCGGCGTAGAAATGTTCGCTAAAAGTTTTGGGGCGACGCATTTAAATGATTTTGCATAATTCAATGGCCCGGCCCTTCTCCACCCCACCCGTTGGTGAGGGGAAAACTTTCCAAAAATCCATGAAGAAAAAAAAATGAAACCACGGTAGAACTTGGACCCAAGAACTTGGTAATATATTTTCTTTAATTGCGCAAAATTAATCCTTTTTATGATGCTCCTTCCCAGGTGGATTGTCGAGTGCCCGGGGACCCCCCGTGGAGGTTGAGGGTTGATCTTCCCATCCTCCCCGTGGGGTTCCGTCAACTGGAAATGTACACAAAAGGCTTAATTATAAAAGTCAACACACGACGGAGAGCAACTCGGTTCGCAAAAGATGCTCAAGGATTCGACTAGGGGTTAGGGACACTCCACCATACATATCATCCGCTGATGCATTCGCACCCGAACACACACACACACACACCCCATATACAAAAAAGCCAAAAAAGCAGAGATGAAAAAAAGCAACGAAATTCGTATGTAATTAAAATGAAATCCCCTTTTTTACAACCGATGTGGATGGCAAAGATTTTTACGGTTATTTGTTGAAAGAGAAAAAATAAGGGGGAAAACGAAGAAAAAACGCAGACCAGACCAGACCAGCTCAAATTCAAATTGCGAACAAACCGGAAAAATGTGATAATTTTTGTGACGCAGTACAGTGCGTTTCGGTATGCGTGGACACCAATTGTAAACAAAACAGAACAAATCATAAATCAAATAATTCTTACTGTATTGTTGGAAATATCTGCGCCGTCGGAAAAAACATAACCTCAACAAAATGTTTTACAGACACAAAGTATCTGGCAAATGCGGCAACATACATAGCTGCGATCGAAAAAAAAAGAGGTAACAATTATAGACATACAAACAAAAGAGGAGCAGAAGCAAATGCAAATGTCCAATAAGCCTCTCTTTCTCACTCTCTTTGCAGTTGAAGAGGGAGAAACAAACGGTTTCAATGTGCATGCAATTGTCAAGAGCAAAAAGAGAGCACGCGAGCACCTAAGCTGTTTACTCACTCTAACCCTTGCACTTCCCTCTCCCACGCACGACCAACAAGAGCTTCACCGTTCGATCCGTTAGGATGAGCATCAGCCGAAGAGAATGGAATGTGCGTGGAATTAGGAAGCGAAGAAGAGCACGGAGGCACTAAAATGAGTCATCACAAAGCCACCTACACATCTGTCACCGTCACTCTCTCACTCATAATCGTTTTTTCGTCCGGTCCAAGCGTGCGTGTTCAAGTCAGTGCCGTGTTTCGTTAATAAAATCCTAATAACTGGATGAATTTGGCAGAATGAAGAGGATAATTATGGATAAAAAGGTTAGTTTTAGTTATTGTTCGCAATGTTGTCCACAGTTATGTATATGTAACTTTAAAGCAGGGCGGGCTCGGCATGGCCGTATCTATTGTGCGTAGGAAAAGGCGCTGCTGCTGTATCACTGAGTTTGGCACCAATACAATGTTCCGTTTTGCCTGCTGTGAGCGGCAGCGCAGCAGCAGCGCCTTTTCCTATGCACTGTAGATAGGGCCGTGCCGAGACCTGCTTAAAAGTTATGAAACGAACTGTATACGAATGTACATACATACATACATGCATGCATGCATCATACATATTTACATATTTTTATATGCTATGCCAACGAGTATGTATAAAGATACAATTTTTGTTGATTAAGCTGAATAGGGGTTAGGGTGAATGGCAAACAGATTGTTAATGAATGGTTGGGTAAAACCTCCGCATTGAGCAAAAACAATTTTTGGTTTTCATTAAAACACACACAAAATAATAAAAGGAAGAAAGAAAGAAATGATATGAAAACTCTGGAAAAAAAGTGCAAAGATGTCCTATAATGTCCACCGACTTACATGGCATGCGATGAAACAATTTCCCTTCGTGCTTGGCCAATTGTGATGTGTTTTTTTGTGAATGGTGGGGAGAGGGGAGGAAGGCAGTGTGCCAGTTCTATTTGCTAACGCTGCCCCATTGCCAGTTTTAATTATTGTCCGTTTTTATTGCAGTCCACAGATAACGTCCGACGACAGGGATAGGGTTATGTATCCAGTGGGGAAGGGCGGGGACCTGGGCCTGTCAGTGTCAACGCAGTCATCGTCACCCTGCCCCACTCCCAGTCCCAGTGCCAGTCCCAGTGCATGGCACAGTCCCTGCCGCAGTTCTGCCTCCAATCCACTCCCCACTCGCAATCGCAGGCCAGCATCAGATGGCGATTAACTTTTCAAATGGAACCCTTTTTCGCGCCGCTGTCGGCGATATGCTAATGATGACCATGCCACCGCGTTGCCCTTGCCTGCCCTGCCTTCATACCTATGTATATCCATTGCCACACTGAGCGAAATCCGTAAAACACCATCTGGTATTGAGTTTTAAAAGCTAGAAACGGAAATATAGCCAAATGAAGCAAATGAAAGAAAGGCTAGCTTGAGTTCTTTAGGATGAAAATACATAAAATATACATATTTATGTGCATAGCTAAGATATTAAACACCTTCGTTTTGCATTTCGTTTATAAGAAAATCAACACAATTTCTGAGAAAAATCAATGAAAATTTCATAGACACAGAACCAATACAACAATTTTCTAGCATAGATAATTCTATTATTTACTATTTTTAATTCTTTTATAACATTTTGATATTGAAACTTTTGAAACTTCCTTGTTGTTGGATTTCTATAGATTAATGTGTTTCTGATTGATTTGTATATTTTTTCGGTGAGTGTATTGCCAGTGCCCGTGTCAGCCATTTGGTGCCCGCTGGCTCTGATGTACACTTTTTGTGTTTCATTATATTCCTCCACATTCATTCCTCATCCTGCTGCTGCTGCTGCTGCCGCCTCTGTTCTGGGCCTGGCCTGTCCTATCCTGTCCTGTTCTGTCCTGTTCTGGTCTTTGCGTTGCTTTGCTTTTATTATTTTCAAGTTTAATTAACTTTTGTGTTGTTTTCAACGAGAGTGGAGAGCGTACATAAATTTCGAGTGTTGCCTGTGGCCCCAGTGGCCTTTTTTGGGGCGAGCAAAAGGATGGATGGAAATTTGATACGATTCGGTTGCCTGGACAAGTCATAAGTCTCTGCTCAGGACAGACACAGGGCAGCCATCGAGAGCAGGGCCATAGCCAGACCGAGGATGGGGAGCAGCTGGGCGCTGAGATTGCTGCCGGAGGATATTGAAGCCGACAGCAGATACTCGAGGATGAACAGCCGAATAACCAGAGCCACTTGCTCTGTGCTGTCGTAGTCCACTCTGTCCGCCACATCGGTGACCTTGTGGTGCAACTGTAGAGAGTCCTTCGCCATCAGATGGACGACGGGCACCTGGTGATTGAGGAAGGGCACATGGTCGTCCCGCGGATCGTCTCTGGCGATGAAATGGAAGTAGGACCGATGCGCTTTTAGCAGCCCTGCTCTGGAGAGCTTCTTCTCCATTTGAACCAGACGCTGGTACCAGCCCAATGTGGTGGGAATGTGGCTGTAGAAGGAAGCGCCTTTGGCCCCAATGTGGTTTAGCAGTACGAAAAGATCAATGGAATCCAGCTGGTTCCGCTCATAAATCCGCTGCGCTAGGTGTCGGGAGCCGTAAAGCGATGAGTCCTCATCGGACCAGCTCCCAACGGCCTCCTTGCCGTCGAAGAACACAAACAACAGACTGATCTCGGCCCGCCGCAAGTCCGCCAGCTGCTTCTGCAGCACTTGGGCCATGTTGAGCATCAGGGCACAGGAAACCGCCGCATCCGTGGCACCCACATACTCTGATTGCTCAAAGTACTTGCTGTCGTAGTGGCAGCCCAGCATCAGGTATCGCCGGGCCTTGTGGTTCAGCTTGGCCACGATATTGTGGAAGGTCACGGAGCCCAGGATGGGCACCTGACCGTTGAAGATATCCAGCTTCACGTGCCATCCCAGCGCCTTAAGTGTGGCGGTGATGTAGTCCCGCACTGCGGCGTGACCCGGTGTACCCACAACTCGCTCCACTGCGATCCTTTGCACCGTCTGCCTTAAGTTCTGCGGATCCGAGAGCACCGCAAAGGAGCGCACTTGGTCTGAGGTTAGCTCTGTGGGCTGGTAACGCAACGTGCCACTGCGTCCCACGGTAAGAACTTCCTCATAAGAACCATGGCTATAATGCAAGATGGCCAGAAGCAGCGCTGGAATCACATAATTCTTGGATAGAGGCATAATTTTGTGTGGCTTTCTATTAATTATTTTCGCGATATCGAATCCACTTTACATTGATCTTCTACTGAGCTGCTTTGTTCTGTTCGTCATCCTTCACAATCTGGCTAATGAATGTGGCCTTAGCCACACCTTTTTCTTGGCAGACAAATTAATTTGAAACGCTTCAATTTCAAATGCTTTTCCACACAAAATCAATTCCTCATGCTCGAGTAAACAGTGGAGAGAGGGAGAGAGAGAGGGAGACTTCAGGAAGAGACTTTGCAGGGCACATGATATATATGTACATATTGTACCTGTAGTATATGTACCTGTTCAGTTTAGAGATCAACTGTTGGATAGGGCTGTAATTACTCGACTTCAAGCGAGTCTGATGCTCACATTAATAACTGCAGGGACGCGTGGTGTGGGCGGGGGCGGTGGCGGTGGCCAGCACGGCAGCAACTGCTCGACAAGTGCTTACGTAATTTCGCATGCTTATATAATAAATACCCAAACACACCAGAGCAGCACCAGAGCAGCACAGCAAGCAGCAAGCAACCCATTTTGAAATTCTGCTGCTGCCACGCCTGCTGTGTGCCCCTTCTGGGCCTGTGTCTGGGCCTGTGCCTGTGCTTTTGCTTGTGCCATTGGGCTGCCAGTCTGTCTGACAATTAGACCTTAATGTATTGTACTCAAAGTTATACGCAATTACGATAGAACTTCATCTGGCAAACGAACTGAACTGGTTTGTGTCTCAGCCTCAGTCTCAGTCTCCGCCTGCGACTGTCCCAGCGATAAACAAATGAACACATAAGCCGAGCAGACAGCCCAGACAGCCCAGACAGCCCGGACAGACAGACCGACAGTCAAACCTCACTCAAGTGTCTGCCAAAAGCCAGAGAGAAATAAAGCCAGAGCGCCAGGCTAGCCGAAATATCATGTTCCCTACGATCGAAATGTTGGAAATCTCTGGAATAAAGTCGGAATCTGTGTTATCTAAAAAATATAATAATATAATATTATAATTTAATATTATAATAATTTATATTAAACCCAAATTGCAATTTAAAGCAACTGCAAAATCGGTTTGATTGTTGCATTCAAAAAAAAAAACAAAAAATATTATAAGAATTAATTTCAAATATTTTTGTTTATGGAAGGGAATTTATATGTAGTGGACCTGTGTCTGATTCCGTTCTAGCCCTGCGGGTTCCACACACAAATTGTGTTTGGCTCAGACTGTCTGTTCTGCTCTTGAGATTTATGTCTGCAAAACAATCTTCCAGTCAGGCCAACAAACAAGCTTTGTCTAACGATCTTGGCCGGGTTGCGTTACTCTGTTGAAACGGGCGGCAGTTATAGGTGGGTGAAATCGCTTGTAACTCCAAGGAAATGAGAATTCTAACCATGCATATCAGGAAACTGTATACAATTTATGTGTATATATTTCGTACACGATAGATAGGGTATACAAAACATCAGTTCAGTATAGAAGATCTTGGATTGCTTTTTTTGCTGGCATTAGTTTCATTTTTTGCGAGTGTCAGACCTCGGTTCGGCTCTTTTATTTATGCATTTCTCGTATTTTGGAATAAATTAGCAAACACAAGAAATACACACAAATTTTTGAAAAACTAAATCAGCTGCTGGAGATGCTTTGATATTGGAGACAGAGAGAGCTTGAAGACCCCGGAGTCCGTTTAGCAGACAATATAAATATTCAGAGGTTTGTCTGGCGCCAAGTTTATTTATATGTTCCATTTATTTCGTGTATTTGGAACCCTATTACTTGTATGTCACTAAATTATTGCATTTGATGGGGAATTTTAATTTAACTCAAGCTAACCCGACCCGATCTTTGCCACAGCTCTTCAGATTTAATATTATTTTTGTTTATTTTTTGTGTTTTTTGCCCCCAACCAGAACGAAATGCCGTCCGCCCCTCAATTGTATATGGGCTTACCTTCGGTCGAGCCGAGGTTCGTAAGGTTTGGTTCATCATCAACCGCCCTCAGCACTCACTCGGAATTATCTCCGCCCCAGCCAGATCTGCGGTCTGCCCGAAAGCCGCATGCTGCGGATCGAATTCAAGACAGTCCAAGCCAGGGATGGGATGGGATGTGATGGGACGGAACGGGGGCTCTGCCACAAGATTGAGTCAAAGATATGGTAGACCAACACGCGTCCGTGGTTCGATTTTGTTGCTGAATACTCTATCACAGAGTGGTTATACTTATTAGTTGTGCTGCTGGTGGAAGAACATGATGTTTCGGTGGTACAAGTGTCGGGAAATCTTCGGTGTTGTCCCTGCCTATACTCTACCTTTCAAGTCTTTCTTTTACTTTTCTTAATTTTGACTCGCCTCGCCTCGATTCAACGACGACAGCTCCAGGCTCTCGGCTCCGTCCACAGCAGGAGGAAGAGAACACATATATATGTATGTACAAGAAATGAGCGAGATTATACCTGTAGATATGTATGCATGTCAGTAAATACATATGCTTGTGTGGGCATGAAGGTGCGGCTGTTGTTGTTTTTATGGTCGATATATATTTATATATATAATGTTGACTTCGTTTGTTGTGTTGATGCGAGTATTACTTGCATACACTTTTAGTGGGTAATATTGGTTGGATCAGATGCTTGAAACAGAAAGTGAAGGGAAGTGAGTATCAGCACCTTCAGCACCCAATCAAGAATAATCTTAGCCAACATGATAAGGACAATAATAAAGTAATGAAGGAAAGTAATATAGTAGTAGGATCACTTCGTGACTGATTACGGGGTGCCTTTGTGTACAAAAAATCTTAAATGTGTAAATGGCAGAGATAAAAGGAACGCACCCATAATGATATTAAAAAGAATATCTAAATTTCATATATAATACTTTTACAATTTGTTAAATATGAAATAACTTTTAATTAAATATATTTTTATTTTAATGTCAAAATGTAAGTGAAAATACTTTCTCCTTACAATTTCCACACTCGAAGGAAATGTGTGAATATTAATATATTTAATTGCTTTTCATCTGTGTAGATATAGTGTGCTGATATAGAAACGATAGGTCCTGCAAGGGTATCAAAAGCTTCGATCCTTCCCTTTCCTTGTTGTTTTGTTTTTTCGTTTTTTTTTTTGTGGTTTCGTTTGGACCCTCCATTCGATTCGACATTGTTGTTGCTGTTATTGCTGGTGTAGTTTTCTTTGTTGTTGTTGTTGTAATGGCTATGGCTTGCGTTTTGATTGCAGTCGCAACGTTGTTGTCGTTGTCGTTGTTGTTGTTGTTGTTGGTTTGCTTTGCCTCTTTACTCTGTTGCCTTTTTCATGCCATTTAAGTCTTATTTATGGTTCTCGTTGATGATCGTGTTGATGGTCGTACTTTTCGTTGTTGTTGTTGTTTTTCTTCCCCCTCCGATTTGCTCTGTTATTGCTCTCGGTTGCTTTTCAAAAACCTTTTCGAACTGCGGTACACGCTGTCTGCGCGGGAGTTTTGACTTGATATGGGTCATCCGAGCCATTATCTGTGGAGGAACATCACCTGACCTGCTCGTGAGAAGAAGTGCGTGCTCATCCCCTAATTTGATCCGACTTGGATACCCCATGGCAGGTACACTGTAGAAACAATTGCCGGAGAGAGGGAGAGAGAGAGAGAGAGAGAGAGTCCCAACATGGCTTGGGGTGACCCACTCCTATCAGGTACATACTCGTACAAACACCGTGGTATTAACACAAGTTCTGCCTTTAAAATGATTTAAGGATTTAGTGGAAATAATTTTTTAAAATGTTTAAATGGAACATAAGCTCGAACCACATAATTTCGAGGTTATGGAAACAGGAAGCGCTGCCCTCGATAAAGTGCATTCGGGATCCCTCTATGTCTGGCCATTCACAGGCACTGCATTTACCTTACGTTGGATGCTTGATTTTTAACCTTCTCTCCATTGCACTCACCTCCCAGTTCCTGCTTGTCCATGGGTTTGCTTTACCCAGTTTATTTTCACCATTTGTTGCTGTTGTTGTTGCTGTTGCTGTGTTTTCTCTTTTCGGTGCTCAACTCTCCGCGAATGCAACGCGGGGCAAACGGGGTTGTACATTTGTGCATTTGGCTATACCCTCACAGCGAGTGGAACTATTTTGGCATAATTTTTAATTTTAATTTTTACTGGCTACTCGACACTTAAATATCAATTTAAATTTGATTTAATTATAAACTATTCAAAAAGTATATTAAATTTATACAAATGGGAGTCTGCTGCTGCAAGTGTATCTACGATTTCGGTGCCACTCTTGTTTTGTGGCTGTTCCCCCACCAACAATATTTTGTGCTATTTTTTTTGTTTTGTTTTTTTTTCGGGTATAATTTATTTGTATTTTTTTGCGTTGTTAACTACAAAATGGGTTTGCACGGTAGTCCGATTCGGAGTGAACTTGCTTGGAGCTCAGGTTGCTGTTGCTGTTACCTTTGTTGCTGTTGTTGTTGCTGTTGTTGTTGGTTCGGTGTTGGCTGAAGGCTTTTCTTTCTCGTTTGATTCGTTTGCTCTGCAATCGCAGGAAATCAATTATAAAAAAAACCTTTGGCGTTCGGCTTCACTGGCCACGTTAATTCGTGAAAAATGCTTTTTCGCTGTTTTGTCCCTCTCTCGCTCTCCCTCTAACTCCTCTGTTTGTCGGTCTGTCTTCCAGTCCCCCCCTCCCAGTCCACTCTGTTTAATGTTTTTTTTTTTTGTTTCTCGTTTGAAAGAGTTTTCATTGTTTCTCGAATTGGAGTTGAAAGTGTTTGGGTCAGAGCCAGCGTCAAGAGCGTCTCGGGGTTTTCGGAGGGGGAGGGAGGGCGGTAACAAAGGATTGCGCGGCAGCGGAAAAAAGTGCAATAAATTTGACTATGCCTTGGTGCCAGCTATCGATTTCGTTCAATGATTTCGCTCTCTTTCTCTCTCTCTACAGAGACACAAAAATACCCGTACCCGGCTATAGCCTGGGTAGCAACGACAACTGGCTGGCTGACTGTCGATCGTCGACCTTTATTTATGTGCCTTTGATAATGCGTTTTTAAATTCAGGAAGTTACAGTTTATGGTTGCTGGTGCCCCCTGGGGCTTGGGGTTCCTTAAGTATATATGTACATACATATATTCGTT